TGCTGACTGGGGTGGCTTCCAGTGCCATGACTGCTCTCCGTAAGCTGCCACGTCGCGCCAAACCCTCTGCCCTGGATATTATCCCCAGGTCGTCTGGCTGGTGTCTGGGAGGGGGAGGGGAATCCAACGGATCAACCGTCTCCTGGTACAATGCCTCCCATTCCCCTCGCAGGAATTTACGCAATCTTTCCCTGGTCGCCTTCCAGTCAGGGTGCCTCGGCGAATGCTGACGCAGCGTCAGGCGAGCCGCAAACAGCAGAATCGTCCAGGCAGGGATGGAGTCTGGGTCGTGTGCTAGTCGTAGCAGTGGTGTCAGCATTACCATAGCGAAAAGTAGGCGCAGTTTTTCCGGCAGGCGTCGTGCCAGCGGAGCGTTGCGACTATCGCGCAGCTTATCCAGATTCCAGGTCCTGACATTCGCGAATAGTGTGTCGTCCCTGGCGAGGGCTTCGGGCGACTTTTGGGGAGGGGGTTGTAGTTGCTGTTGGTTACCCCTCGCTGATGTTCGCGGTACATTTGCAGGTGGCGATGTCAGGTTTGGTTGGGCGGGATGGTTGGCAGTGGTGGCAGGGCGGCGGGAAGCGGTGTGAATTTGTGGTGAGGGTCGCGGCTGGGTGGGTGTGTTTGTGAAATTTGTAGACGCGCCTCGGGCATGGGTTGGGCCGATTCTCCCCCGAGCTGGAGTTTGTGACTGGGCCTCCTCCGAGGCATTCGAATTTGAAGGTGAGTCTGCTTCTTCCTCCTCCGCCGCATAAATGCTACCCGATAATTCGCCTTCTTCATTAGTTCTAACTAAATCGTTGCCTGGAACGCATTCTCCGGACCTCCTTCCCGAGTGCCCCTGCCACGTCCGCGACCTCCGCCTCGACCCCCTCGTGTCCGCGCGCTGGCCGCGGCCAGCAGGGGACTTTCGCGACTACCTATTCCCGCGTTCTGACACATCCGTGCGTCCTCCAATGCCTGCTGCCGACGCGTTCGCCGAGATGGCGACAGAAGCGGCAAGGTCGGTGGTGGACCTAGGTCACACCGCTGAGAGCGTGCTTGCTCCGCCTCCGGCTCCTGCCGCCCCTGCCGCTGAGGCTCCAACTGCTCCCCCGGTTCCCCTTGCCGCTGCTGCGCCGTCAACGGCCCCAGTCCAACTGGCGTCTGCTCCCCCGCCAAGCCTCCCTCTTCCTCTCGGTGCTCCTGCCCCTGATGCGCCCGCTCCTGTTGCGCCGCAGCCGCCTGCGGCGTCGCCACTTGTCCAAGCTGCCGCCGGCGTCCCTGCGCCGGGGACAGCGGTGGGCGCCTCCCACGACCCCGCGCACCAGGTCGCACTTGCGTCTGCGCCGGTACAGCCCGTCGCGCAGCCGCGTGCGGAGTCCCACAGTCGTGGTGTTGCTGGGGGCAGTGCGGCGGCGCATCGGGGGCGTGGTTCTCCTCGGCGTCGCCCCTCCCCATCGTACCGGAATGCGCATCGCGGTGGCCGCGGTGGCTGGTGGGGAGGTCACGGTCGCGGACGTGAGGCGCCGAGCGAGATGCAACAGTTACGCGACGACTTCCCTGGGATGTTGGCCGCGGCGATGCGCGAGGCACTGAACAGTGCGTCGAATCCTGTGGCTGCCCAGGCTCCTCCTACTCCACACGCGGTTCCTGCGCCGAGTGCTCAGGCGTACCCGCAGGGTCCAGGCCCAGCTGTTGGCCGTGCACCACCACCCGCATCTCGTTCGGTCGCCGCCGCTCCGTATCCCCCTCTTCCATGGATTCCTCCCGTTCCGAACACGGGATTTGTGGGAGCGGGAGGCGGAGAGGCGAGGGGGCCCTTCCACCCTCTGCGTCGCGTTGATGAAGGTCCGACTGCGCCCCCTCCGCCAGCTCTTCCCGTTCCCGCTGCGGCGAGGCTGACCGGGACGGCTGAAGTTCCTACGGCGACTCTCGCGCAGCTGTGGCGCTTGGTGGAGTGCCAGCAGGCCCATCCTCCGAAACCCAGGGAGCACTCTCGATCCGATGGCGCGAGCTGATTGCTTGGCAGCGGCAGCGCAGTTTGCCTTCTTCCTGCTACCCGTGCTGGGAGCGCCCGCGCCGGGAGGCGTTGCGGTAACGCAGCTGGACCTGACTGTCCAGGATCTGACTGGGCACCTCCGTGAAGGAGTCGCTGTTGAAGCGCTTGGCGCGACCGCGTTAGTGGTCCGCCAGATGTGGAGGACCATGCGAGGGATCCTCGCGGCACTTGACGCCCACTTGATGTAGGTTTTGGCGTCCGCCGCACGTAGACGTGCTGCATCTTGATTATCTAGGTGTTGCGCTTGTGGGTTGCCTCCATTGTGTCTTGTTTGTCTTATGCTCTTTTCAGATTGTTGCTTGTCTCCCCAAAGCACGCGGCCGAAGGCCGCGCACGCGAGCGCTGGCGGCCTTCGGCCGCCGGCGCGAGCGCCGCTAAAAACTGGAACGAAATGAACTAATGGGAGAGGAATGGCCAGTCGGGCCCCTTATATAGCCAGAGGGCAAGGGCAGAGGCTAGAGGCAGAGGCTAAGTCCTCTCTCTCTCTCTCGCTCTCTGCGAGCGCCGCTAAAAACTGGAACGAAATGAACTAATGGGAGAGGAATGGCCAGTCGGGCCCCTTATATAGCCAGAGGGCAAGGGCAGAGGCTAGAGGCAGAGGCTAAGTCCTCTCTCTCTCTCTCTCTCTCTCTCTCTCTCTCTCTCTCTCTCTCTCTCTCTCTCTCTCTCTCTCTCTCCCACTCTCCCACTCTCCCCCACACTCTCTCCCTCTCTCTCCCCCACACTCTCTCTCTCCCAATCTCTCCCTCTCTCCCTCTCTCTCCCAATCTCTCCCTCTCTCCCTCTCTCTCCCTCTCTCTCTCTCTCTCTCTCCCTCTCTCTCTCTCTCTCTCCCTCCCTCTCTCTCTCTCTCCCTCCCCCTCTCTCTCTCTCCCTCCTTCTCTCTCTCCCTCCCTCTCTCACTCTCTCTCTCTCTCTCTCTCTCTCTCTCTCTCTCTCCCTCCCTCTCTCTCTATCTCTCTCTCTCTCTATCTCTCTCTCTCTCTCTCTATCTCTCTCTCTCTCTCTCTCTCTCCCACTCTCCCCCACACTCTCTCCCTCTCTCTCCCCCACACTCTCTCTCTCCCAATCTCTCCCAATCTCTCCCTCTCTCTCTCTCTCTCTCTCTCTCTCTCTCTCTCTCTCTCTCTCTCTCTCTCTCTCTCTCTCTCTCGTCACCGTGCCTGCCCTTGCATTTGTAGTGGTCCATTCAATCAAGCTCCGTCCCACACGTAGGAAGGGAAAAGTGGTGGGAGACAAAGGAGCATCCGGGAAAATATGGATCAAAGGAATCAAGTAAGTTGATACTACACTGCACCATGCATCTTTCACTAGTAGTGCGCGCCAAGACAGTCCTACTATGCATATTTCACCAGTGTGGGTGTGCCATGACAGTTTCCTAGCCATGACGAGTCCTGCTGCTTGGTGGTCCCTACTTAATTTCCCCCTTTCTGGTTGGCAGGGCTAAACAAAGCTACTACTTCGTGCTTAAGATTCGTATGGACAATATCAAGTCGGGGGGGGCTTTTCCTCTCTACGAAACGTTACCGTCTGGCAGTTCGTGTTTTGATGGCGGAGCGTATTCAGCGGGGAACGCGGCAAGCATGCCATGGAAAAACATAACCAAGACGGGTGGCAAGCTTAAGCGTTACAGCTTCACCTTGTCAATGGTGGGGAAAGGGACATCAAAGGCAATTCTCAAGCATACCTTTGACTTTTCTTCTGCAGAACTTGCTTCGGGTCCTACTATTGTGTCTCATCCAAATAACAACTATGCACTCTGTGGGAACAATAAGAAGTGACTTTCGAAATGTTGTTAGTAGTTATGTTTAGTGCAAAGTGTTGTACAAGGCAGTTTTTCGTAGTTTATGAGGGCGTGTTCCTGTGGCCCCTTATCAGGCTAACCTCTCGTCAGACTTGGTCCTTTCGAGTGATTTTGTTGTAGACACCGTTTTGCAGGCTTGAAAAGTAACATTGCTGGGCGATGAATTGGTCGCGCAAAAATCATTCACACGTAATGTTTCCGCGAGCCATGGTCAGGCAATTGCCCAAAGCACGTGTAAAAGGGCCCTACTTTGTCTGGTATGAAGCATGCGAGCATTTTTCCGCCAAACACATGTTTTTCTGGACTCACGGAAACTTAGTTTGCCACCTTTCGGGTGGAGGGGAACACAAGATCTGGGCGCAAATACCTACCGGTATGTGAGAATGCATGTACCCACCCCACTCAGATAACCTAGTGACTGTTCAACCAAAGAAAGTACGTATGGCTTTCACTTGTTCAGAGTGCAGAAAATTATTCATACCATTACAACATGCTAAGGTACGGGTATGATAACTTGCAGAGTTAGCAAGGGGCCAGACATATAATACAACAACGTGCCACACGGCATTCCTCATGCATGCAGCCGTGGCTTGGATTGGATCCATAACCAGCAGCAGCAGCAGCAGCAGCAGCAGCAGCAGCAGCGACATACTGTATTCAATTCTGCCTCCAACGCGTGCCGTACAGCACACACACACGGTATCTACCGTAAGACGCCTCAAAACTAGCAACAGCACAAGGACCCCCAGACCAGACCAGAAGGTCCTCAGGCGACCCAACGATCTCCCACCTACCCAGCCTACGGTACTGCCAAAGCACTCTGGCCCAAAGAGCACCGCACGTGCAGTCTGAGCGCAAAGAGCACCGCACCGCACGTGCTGCTGGGTGCCTTCTGAATCGACACACAAGCCAGTCAGTCGCTGGTTGATTTTGCACCGGCAGCCTTGCTGGTGGTTCAGTCTCACTTCTTCTTCCTCCCCTTGGGTTTCTTCACACACGACTGCTTATCAGCTGTCTGCACATACCCACTCTCACACAAACAGTTTGGGTCCACCCCCACCCCCACCCTCCCCCTCCCCCATCTCTCCCCTCTTGGCAAACCAGGTGACTTCTGAGTCGAGTTACGTGGAAGACACCTGGCAGTTACGGTAGGCCTCACTTCCTCTTCCGCCCCTTGGGTTTCTTCACGCAGGACTGCTTGTCAGCTGTCTGAACATACCCTGCGTCACACAAACAGTTCGGGTCCACCCCCTTGGCAAACCAGCATGCCCCGTGCCCCCCGCACGGGTTCTCCCCTGCGTTGCAAAACCTCTTGCACGTGCTGGCAGCAACCTGGGTCTGCACCCTCCCGGCCTGGTAGCACGCGGAGGTGGTGGGGTATGTGAGGCAGTTGTATGCAATGGAAGACTGGTAGAAGATGCCTCGGCGGGTCTGGTCTTGAGGGCAGGAGGTGACGCCGCCGGCAGTGACAGAGGCAGGACCGTAGAAGAAGTTGTGGTGCAGGTTGTATTGGCCGGCTGACAGGATGGTGCCGTTCTTGAAGCCGGTTGGCAGTGGACCAGACAGCATGTTGTCGTGTAGGTTGCTGCGAGGAAAAGCGGAGGGGGGGGATGGGGGGTAGAAGAAGTTGTGGTGCAGGTTGTATTGGCCGGCTGACAGGATGGTGCCGTTCTTGAAGCCAGTTGGCAGTGGACCAGACAGCATGTTGTCGTGTAGGTTGCTGCGAGGAAAAGCGGAGGGGGGGGATGGGGGGTAGAAGAAGTTGTGGTGCAGGTTGTATTGGCCGGCTGAAAGGATGGTGCCGTTCTTGAAGCCGGTTGGCAGTGGACCGGACAGCATGTTGTCGTGTAGGTTGCTGCGAGGAAAAGCGGAGGGGGGGGATGGGGGGTAGAAGAAGTTGTGGTGCAGGTTGTATTGGCCGGCTGACAGGATGGTGCCGTTCTTGAAGCCAGTTGGCAGTGGACCGGACAGCATGTTGTCGTGTAGGTTGCTGCGATGGGGGGAGGAGGAAGGGGGAAGGGGAGATGGTGGATGGGAGTTTGCCAGAGGATTGGTGGTGCAGGCTGGCTGAGTGGAGAGATTATGTGCAGAAGAGTGAAGGGAGAGTGGAGAGGAGGAGGGAGAGAGAGAGAGAGAGAGAGAGAGAGAGAGAGAGAGAGAGAGAGAGAGAGAGTGCTAGAAGGGGAAAGGGAGGACTGCTACTCACCACGCTCTTCGGGATGAGATAGCAAACATAGGGGCTGATGCGGGCTTTACGGTGCACAAAGAGACGTATGCCTACTCTCTGGTTGAAAACCTTAAGGCGGATGTCACCATCCGTCATCCCCTGACTGGAGAGGTGTGGATGTGCGACGTGACCGTAACGGACCCGGTGTCTTACCAGGACGAGAACTGCAACCGTGCTCCGGGATGGGCGGCTAGGGCGGCAGCAGCTAGGAAGGAGGAGAAGTACGCTCGCAGGAACGCGTGGGTGGGGTTCCACGCGCTTGCGGTGGAGACTTACGGATACCCCTCGCCAGGGGTGATGGCTTACCTGCGGCAATGCGCGGATTTGGCGGCAAAGCTGCGGTTTAACGCAGCACCAACCTCTTACGAAGCAGCTAAGCTGCTGACAGAGTACCGCCAGCGCTGGAGCGTGTGCCTCCAGCGGGCGCAGGCCAATGCCCTCCGCACCAAGACCAACGAGGCCTTGGCGGCGGACGAGCTTGGCTTTCGGGGTCCCATCATCCCTCTCAGTGAGGGACAGCTGCACCAGCTGATTGAGCCCCCGTTCGACCAGTAGGGTCGGACAGAGGGGGGGGCGGGAGAAGGTAGGGGATGTGGAGTAGATAGGATACCGGTTTGCGTGTTTGTTTAGCTTGTGTGTTTGCATCTTCCACTGTACCACTGGACCATTCGAGAGAGAGTGAGAGTGTGTGTGTGTGTGTGTCTGTGAGAGAGAGAGAGAGAGAGAGAGAGAGAGAGAAAGAGAGAGAGGAGAGAAGTGAAGTGAGCGTACAGCAGAGTGAGCTTACAGAAGGTTTAGTTTGGGCAGAGAGAGGATGCCTCGAGGGAAGGAGCCAGAGAGATCGTTGCTCTCCAGGTAGCTGCGAGGGGGGAGATGGGAGAGGGTGGGGGAAGACACGTGAAAGAAAAAAAAGTGTTTTGAGACATCTGAGAACACGCCTCGAGAAAGGGAGCCATAGAAATCGTCGCTCTCCAGGTAGCTGATACAAGGTGGGGGAAGGTGGTTGGGAGGATTGTGGATGACTTTTGAGTCGACTCAAAAGAGCGTGGGGGAAGGTGGTTGGGAGGATTGTGGAAGTCGACTCAAAAGAGCGTGGGGGAAGTCGGTTGGGAGGATTGTGGATGACTATGGCGTGAACATAAGCGTTGCTGTCCAGGTAGCTGCGAGGTGGGAAGGCAGAAGAGCGTTGGAGAAGGTGGGAGAGCATTGGAGAAGGCGGGAGAGGGCAGCAGGAAGGCGGGAGAGGGCAGCAGGAAGGCGGGAGAGGGCAGCAGGAAGGCGGGAGTGGGTGGCGGGAAGGCGGGAGTGGGTGGCGGGAAGGCGGGAGTGGGTGGCGGGAAGGCGGGAGTGGGTGGCGGGAAGGCGGGAGTGGGTGGCCGGAAGGCGGGAGTGGGTGGCGGGAAGGCGGGAGTGGGTGGCGGGAAGGCGGGAGTGGGTGGCGGGAAGGCGGGAGTGGGTGGCGGGAAGGCGGGAGTGGGTGGCGGGAAGGCGGGAGTGGGTGGCGGGAAGGTGGCAGGCGAGTGAGTGAATATGGTGTGAAGATAATATTCTGCTTTGGGATAAGATATGGTGTAGAGGTTAGAAATGCGGTGTAAGACATTGGGACAGAGTGAGCATGGCAAGAGGCAGCATGGCAAGAGGCAGCATGGCAAGAGGCAGCATGGCAAGAGGCAGCATGGCAAGAGGCAGCATGGCAAGAGGCAGCATGGCAAGAGGCAGCATGGCACGAGACAGCATGGCATGAGGCACAGCAGTGCACTGGTGACTTAATGGAGCAAGCCAGCAGAGGAGGGATTCACAGCACAGTGAGCTCCTTGAAGGGACTGATGACATCCAGGCATAGGGGCAGCATGGGATCACACCACTAACACCTTGAAGCATAGGGGCAGCATGGGATCACACCACTAACACCTTGAAGCATAGGGGCAGCATGGGATCACACCACTAACACCTTGAAGCATAGGGGCAGCATGGGATCACACCACTAACACCTTGAAGCATAGGGGCAGCATGGGATCACACCACTAACACCTTGAAGCATAGGGACACCTTGATCACATCATGCAGCAAAGCAGGGCAGGCACTCACAGCACGGTGAGCTCTTTGAGGCACTCACAGCACGGTGAGCTCTTTGAGGCACTCACAGCACGGTGAGCTCTTTGAGGCACTCACAGCACGGTGAGCTCTTTGAGGCACTCACAGCACGGTGAGCTCTTTGAGGCACTCACAGCACGGTGAGCTCTTTGAGACGGCTGATGCCGTCCGGGATGGTGCCCGTGAGCTGACCGTTGTCCAACAGACTGAGGGGCGCAAGGGGGGAGGGGGAAGGGGAGGTGGGGAGGGGGAGGGGGAAGGGGTGGACGGGGAAGGGGGTAGGGAAAAAAGGGATGAAACCGTTAAAAGGGCCCAACGCAGCCCGAAGCCCAACGCTGCTTGAGGTAGAGAGCGGCAGTTCTGCAGAATGGTGAGCAGAAAAAGGTCTTGTCGTGGCATGGCATGTCATGGCGTGGCATGGCATGCATGGTATGATCTAATGTGACGGATCTAATGTGACGAATGAAACACGGCGAGCTTAGTAAGGTGCATGTCTGCATGCCACACGGTGCCACACGTTGTTACACGGTGCCACACGGTGCCACACGTTGCTACACGGTGCCACACGTTGCTACACGGTGCCACACGGTGCCACACGTTGCTACACGGTGCGTACATGCGTGAGAGTTTGGTGAGCTTGGAGATGGTTGCAGGGATGGTGCCGTTGAGAGGGGCAAACTCAGACACCCTGCGGTGAGGAGCGGTGGGGAAGGGTGTGAGGGGGGAGAAAGGAGCAAGAGGAGAGAAGAAGCTTGAAGAGAAGTAAAGATGGGTAAGAAGATACAGGCTGTGTGAAAGTAGCATGCAATGGCAGCAGCAGTGCTGAAAACCTGTGATACGGCAAGGAGCGGGTGAGGAGCAGTGAGGAGCGATGAGGGGCGGTGAGGAGGGGTGAGAAGGCGAGCACGTACAGGTCGGTGAGGCTCTTCATGTTGCCAGGTTGGCCGTGAGGAGTGGTGAAGAACGGTCAGGACCGGTGCTGACAAGGGACTTACAGGTCGGTTAGGCTCTTCATGTTGCCAGGTTGGCCGTGAGGAGTGGTGAAGAACGGTCAGGACCGGTGCTGACAAGGGACTTACAGGTCGGTAAGGCTCTTCATGTTGCCCAGGTTGGCCGGCAGAGTGCTTTGCAGATTGGGGTTGCTGCTCATGAAGCTGATTAGTAGGGGAGGGGGGGGAGGGGGGTGGGAGGTAAAGAGAAAGAGAGGAGAGGGAGGTGCGTCTATGGACGTTGGGGGGCTTACAGGAAACAAGTGAATGGGCAGACGCGAGAAGGGATAAGAGGATGGGAAGAGGGAGGTGGGGGCTGAGAGGATGGGCAGAGGTGGGTGGGGCTGAGAGGTTGGGCAGAGACGGGTAGGCGGGGTGGGGCTCACAGGATGTTGAGGTTGGTGAGACGCGTGAGGGTGATGGGGAGTGGACCGATGAAGCTGTTCTGATTGATGAAGCTGCACGGAGGGAGGGAAAAGTTGGGGAAGAGAGGGGCGAGAAGGGGGGAGAGAGGTGGAGAGAGAGTGAGAAGGGGAGCGGATGGTGGTAGGCATGGTGATAGGCATGGTGGGAGGCATGGTGGGAGGCATGGTGGGAGGCATGGTGGGAAGGAGGCATGGTGGGAGGCATGGTGGGAGGCATGGTGGGAGGTGAAGCCCGAAACCCCCCACGTACAGGTTGGTGAGTGCCCCACGTGCGCAAACATGCACCCCCCCCGTACAGCACATGCCCATGTGCACATGCCCAGAACCCCCACGTACAGGTTGGTGAGCGGCATGATGGTGCCGATGCTGGATGGCAGCACGCCGTCAAACTTGTTCGTGTCGATGTACCTGGTGGGGTGGGGGGAAGGAGAGGAGAGGAAGGGCGGAGGGGCGGAGGAGCACGGGGTTAGCGCGTGGCAGTGTCGGTGTATATTGCGGGGGAGAGGGACGGAGTGGTGTGGTGGAGTAAGCGAGAGACGCATGGAGAGGGGCACGGCGCATGAGCGGAGTGGTGTGGTGGAAGCCTGAAACGAGACAAGTTGGTTTGGTGAGTGGAAGGCGGGCCGGGGAGATGACTGTGCAGAGGTGGTTGCAGCATGGTGCAGGGTGGTGCAGGGTGGTGCAGATGTACGTTTGAGCTCACATGTAGTTGAGGTTCTTGAGCCGGCCGAGGCAGCTTGACACGGGCCCTGTGAAGCGATTGGCGCTCAGGCGTCTGGAGGGGAGGGGGGGAGAAGAGGGGAGGGGAGGGGGGGAGAAGAGGGGAGGGGAGGGGGGGGAGGGGGGGGGGGTTGAGGTGGGGCGAAGAGATGAGACTGGTCATGGTGTGCACACGACAGTGGAAAAGGGTGGAGTTGAGCAGATTGGCACGTGATGATGGTATTGTCATGGAGTTCGCGTCAAGTAAAGCATATAATCACGGAACTCACAGCTGGCGCAGGTTGGTCATGGTGCAGACTACGGTGGGGAAAGTGGAGTTGAGCAGATTGCTGGGTACATAGCTGCCATGAATGGCGGAACACGGGGTGAGAGGAGTGGTGTGGTGAGGAGCGGGGGTGAGGAGGAGGGATTAGAAAACCAGAAGATATGGAGTTGAGCAGGTGGTTGGGTTGGGTACGTAGCTGCCATGCGTGGGTGTGAGAAGAGCGTGCAGCATGGTACATGACAGCGCGGGGACTGGGGGAAGGCGCGCCACATGCACATGCACATGCACACACGGCATGGGCGTGGAGAGAAGGTGACAATTCTTGCATGGTGACGAGGTTGGAGAAGGTGTCTGGTATGCCTCCCGTGAGAGCAATGCACACGGCACAGTCACACATGGCAGGGCATGGCATGGGCGCGCAGAAACTGACAATTTCTGCATGTTGACGAGGTTGGAGAAGGTGTCTGGTATGCCTCCCGTGAGAGCAATGCACACGGCACAGTCACACATGGCAGGGCATGGCATGGGCGCGCAGAAACTGACAATTTCTGCATGTTGACGAGGTTGGAGAAGGTGTCTGGTATGCCTCCCGTGAGGTAGTTGAGGTTCAGATGCCTGCGAGCCATGCAGCCGTGCACGCACACACAGGCACACACGGGCACAGGGGCACAGACACGGCATGCACACAGGGGCACACGCACAGAAGAACAGAGAGTCAAACACGCAAACAGGGACAGGGCGAGAGGGAGCAACGATGGCGAGAGGGAGCAACGATGGCGAGAGGGAGCAACGATGGCGAGAGGGAGCAACGATGGCGAGAGGGAGCAGCGATGGCAAGAGGGAGCAACGATGGCGAGAGGGAGCAACGATGGCGAGAGGGAGAAACGATGGCGAGAGGGAGCAGCGATGGCGAGAGGGAGCAACGATGGCGAGAGGGAGCAACGATGGCGAGAGGGAGCAACGATGGCGAGAGGGAGCAGCGATGGCGAGAGGGAGCAACGATGGCGAGAGGGAGCAACGATGGCGAGAGGGAGCAACGATGGCGAGAGGGAGCAACGATGGCGAGAGGGAGCAACGATGGCGAGAGGGAGCAACGATGGCGAGAGCAGTGGGTTTATAGATGAACGGCAGTTCATAAACGATGGATTTATAGATGAACGGCAGTTCATAAACGATGGATTTATAGATGAACGGCAGTTCATAAAGGATGGATTTATAGATGAACAGCAGTTCATAAACGATGGATTTATAGATGAACGGCAGTTCATAAACGATGGATTTATAGATGAACGGCAGTTCATAAACGATGGATTTATAGATGAACGGCAGTTCATAAACGATGGATTTATAGATGAACGGCAGTTCATAAACGATGGATTTATAGATGAACGGCAGTTCATAAACGATGGATTTATAGATGAACGGCAGTTCATAAACGATGGATTTATAGATGAACGGCAATTCATAAACGATGGATTCATAGATGAACGGCAGTTCATAAACGATGGATTCATAGATGAACGGCAGTTCATAAACGATGGATTTATAGATGAACGGCAGTTCATAAACGATGGATTTATAGATGAACGGCAGTTCATAAACGATGGATTTATAGATGAACGGCAGTTCATAAACGATGGATTTATAGATGAACGAGCCATGCTCCCAGCCGTTCAAACGAAGGATTAGAGACTGGACGCCAGCACTCACGGCTGGTACAGTTAGTCATGCCAATCGCCCCCCGCTACAGTCACATCACTATAAACCCCCCCCCCCCTTTATACTCACAGCTGATACAGGCTGGTCATGCGGCCCATGGAAGCTGGGATGGTGCCGTTGAGAAAGTTCTGATACAGCTGCCTGTGAGGGGAGGGGGAGAGAGAGGGAGGGGGGAAGGGGAAGAGGGGAGGATGGGAGACCATGGAAGCAGGGATGGTGCCGTTGAGAAGTTCTGATACAGCTGCCTGTAGGGGGGAGGTGGGAAAGCGGGGGGAGAGGGGGGAAGGGGGTGAGGGGGGAAAGGAAAGGGACAGAGGAAGGGGGGAAGGGGACAGATACGTGTGAGAGGAAAGGGGAGAGGGCACGGGGAGCGCCGTGAGGGAGTAGGATGCTTGCCTTACCATTAATCTTGCATGCTTGTATGCATAGTGACTATTAATACAAAGGACCATTCGACGAAACGTGAGGGAAAGGGTTTGGAGTGAAGCAAAGGGGAGGGGAGGGCAAGGGGGGCCGGCAGACGGCGGTACAGCGGGCAGGGCGAGCAGGGCCAGCGGGGAGTGCGGGGCGAGCGGGGAGTGCGGGGCGAGCGGGGCAGGGCGGGGCGTACAAGGCAGTGAGAGGCACTGACAGGTTCTTGAGTTTGACGAGGTTGCTGAAGGAGTCGGGTATGTCGCCATAGATCCAATTCTTCACCGCGAAGCTGATGAGGGGGAGGGGAGAACAGAGAATGGGATGGGTGCACGCGAGAGGGAATGTCGCCGTAGGTCCGATTCTTGGCCGCGAGCTGATTCCTCGGGGCAACACGCACAGGGCAGCACACCAGAGGCGAGAACATGGTCACGCACGAGAGGAAAAGACAGCAGTGAGAAGGCATGGGTGCATGTGATGGGACAGTGGAGAGGCACGGAGGCACATTAAGAAGCGGCGGCGGCGGCCGCCGCGGCCGTGGCGAGAACGGCGGAAGCGGGACTCACAATTCCTCCATCTGGGTAAGCGAGGTGACTTTTGAGTCGACTCAGAAGCGGGACTTACAATTCCTCCATCTGGGTAAGCGAGGTGACTTTTGAGTCGACTCAGAAGCGGGACTTACAATTCCTCCATCTGGGTAAGCGAGGTGACTTTTGAGTCGACTCAGAAGCGGGACTCACAATTCCTCCATCTGGGTAAGCGAGGTGACTTTTGAGTCGACTCAGAAGCGGGACTCACAATTCCTCCATCTGGGTAAGCGCGCCGATGGCGGAGGGCAGCGTGGCGAAGAGCTCCTGGTAACTCATCTCCATGCGACGGATGTAGCCGTTCGTCCAGCACTGCACGAGCTGCCACGTGGCGCACGGATTGGTCGCCACCCACGTGGACAGATCCGCCGTCTTTCCCCACACGGCCTTGAGCTCCATCATCGGCGCGACTGGCGGACGGGGGGAGGGGGGGGGGGGGGGGGGGGGGGGGAAGGGAGGGAAGGAAGGGGGGGGAGAGGGGAGGTAGGGGCAGAGAGTTGGAGGGAGAATTCGTCGCGACCCACGTGGACCAATCAGCAGTCTTGCCCCACACCGCCTTGAGCTCCATCATCGGCGCGACTGGCGGGGGGGGGATGGGAGGGAAGACGAGAGGAGGAAAGGAGAGGGCGAGAACAAAGGGAGGAGGACGAAGGCATGAAATGCGACCGAGAGGGAGCGAGGCGGGGAGAGATGCGGAGAATAGCTGAGGGACGGATGGAGGGGCGGATGGAGGGGAAGAAGAGCGCGAGCGGTAAGCGCGGGAAGAGCGGTAAGCGCGGGAAGAGCGGTAAGCGCGGGAAGAGCGACCGTCCTACTCTGAGAGCTGTGCACGTAGACGGGAAGAGCAGTGAGTGTGACAATAAGTCGAAGAGACAGTGGGTAAGTCGACTGTAAAGAGCAGCCGTCTTACTCTGAGAGCTGTGCACGTAGACGGGAAGAGCAGTGAGTGTGACAATAAGTCGAAGAGACAGTGGGTAAGTCGACTGTAAAGAGCAGCCGTCTTACTCTGAGAGCTGTGCACGTAGACGGGAAGAGCAGTGAGTGTGACAATAAGTCGAAGAGACTGTGGGTAAGTCGACTGTAAAGAGCAGCCGTCTTACTCTGAGAGCTGTGCACGTAGACGGGAAGAGCAGTGAGTGTGACAATAAGTCGAAGAGACAGTGGGTAAGTCGACTGTAAAGAGCAGCCGTCTTACTCTGAGAGCTGTGCACGTAGACGGGAAGAGCAGTGAGTGTGACAATAAGTCGAAGAGACAGTGGGTAAGTCGACTGTAAAGAGCAGCCGTCTTACTCTGAGAGCTGTGCACGTAGACGGGAAGAGCAGTGAGTGTGACAATAAGTCGAAGAGACAGTGGGTAAGTCGACTGTAAAGAGCAGCCGTCTTACTCTGAGAGCTGTGCACGTAGACGGGAAGAGCAGTGAGTGTGACAATAAGTCGAAGAGACTGTGGGTAAGTCGACTGTAAAGAGCAGCCGTCTTACTCTGAGAGCTGTGCACGTAGACGGGAAGAGCAGTGAGTGTGACAATAAGTCGAAGAGACAGTGGGTAAGTCGACTGTAAAGAGCAGCCGTCTTACTCTGAGAGCTGTGCACGTAGACGGGAAGAGCAGTGAGTGTGACAATAAGTCGAAGAGACTGTGGGTAAGTCGACTGTAAAGAGCAGCCGTCTTACTCTGAGAGCTGTGCACGTAGACGGGAAGAGCAGTGAGTGTGACAATAAGTCGAAGAGACTGTGGGTAAGTCGACTGTAAAGAGCAGCCGTCTTACTCTGAGAGCTGTGCACGTAGACGGGAAGAGCAGTGAGTGTGACAATAAGTCGAAGAGACAGTGGGTAAGTCGACTGTAAAGAGCAGCCGTCTTACTCTGAGAGCTGTGCACGTAGACGGGAAGAGCAGTGAGTGTGACAATAAGTCGAAGAGACTGTGGGTAAGTCGACTGTAAAGAGCAGCCGTCTTACTCTGAGAGCTGTGCACGTAGACGGGAAGAGCAGTGAGTGTGACAATAAGTCGAAGAGACTGTGGGTAAGTCGACTGTAAAGAGCAGCCGTCTTACTCTGAGAGCTGTGCACGTAGACGGGAAGAGCAGTGAGTGTGACAATAAGTCGAAGAGACAGTGGGTAAGTCGACTGTAAAGAGCAGCCGTCTTACTCTGAGAGCTGTGCACGTAGACGGGAAGAGCAGTGAGTGTGACAATAAGTCGAAGAGACTGTGGGTAACTCGACTGTAAAGAGCAGCCGTCTTACTCTGAGAGCTGTGCACGTAGACGGGAAGAGCAGTGAGTGTGACAATAAGTCGAAGAGACTGTGGGTAAGTCGACTGTAAAGAGCAGCCGTCTTACTCTGAGAGCTGTGCACGTAGACGGGAAGAGCAGTGAGTGTGACAATAAGTCGAAGAGACTGTGGGTAAGTCGACTGTAAAGAGCAGCCGTCTTACTCTGAGAGCTGTGCACGTAGACGGGCGTTCCCTTGGGAGTCACTTCACTCGTCGACACCCTCCCCTTCCCCCCTCCCTCCGCCGCCTCCTCCTCCGCTATAAAGTCTTCTACAGGCTCCTCCATTGCTGCTACTATCGAGTCCACGTATGTCGGGTCCGTCACGATTGGCCGCGTGTCCCGCTTCGGGACTTGCAGCCCGGGTGGTGGTTTGGATTCACGTGTGTCTGTCAGCAGTCCGTCTATGATTGACTGACGGCTGGAAGGGTTGACGGATTCTGGCAGCGGGTCAGTCAAGTAAACGGTTTCCGTTTCGGAGGATGGCGAAGGGGCGGGTGCCGGCGCAACGCGAATGGCGATTGCTGGCGACGTGAGTAGGGAAACAAGCGCGGCGAAGAGAACTAACTGACGCAGGGTAACCAGACTTCGCGAGTGCGCGACAATCGTCGCCATGCCTAGATGCACGAAATGAGCATGCGACGTTCGCAAAACTCGTTCCCGCTGTTCTCCACAGACCGTGTTGCTCTTTCGCTTAAATCCGCCGCTCGTGACGGCACTCACTAACCGTTACGCAGGTCAGCAAGAGTGTCGTTCTCCTTTGATCTGATCTCAAAGCGAGGCGACAGATTTGATCCCAAGCCCTCTGTTTCTCAATACTCCGGCTTCTGCGACTCTGTTTGAAACCACTTCTAGCGCGCACGCAAAGGGTCGGCAAGCGGAGGGACACGCGGGACGGCTACTGGCGCACTACAGAGGACTACTATAACAATGCGTGCTTTTTCTAGTGGACTCAAAAATCAACGGAAGGACTATCCCTGTGCTTTCGAGATTGTCGATTGAGTGAATGCATATATGATCGGCTGATGGTATGCAGGTGTACGCGGGAAGGAAAGTAGGTGCGATACTAGCAAGGATGGCCAAGCCGCGGGCGGCAGATCCGCTTTGAGGAGCTATCTCGTGCACTATCGCGAAGATGCTTATAGCGAGAACTTCTGATAAAGTCGGTGCGTGGAGGATGGAAGGTAAGTGTATGCCACCTTCCCCTTCCCAAATGTGTACGCGCAGCGCAACCACAAGGCGGTTGGTGGCGCGAATTGGGTTGTTTGCAACCCCCACCCTCCCCCTCATCCCCGCGCGAGGGCCAGAAATCAGTGCGGCTGGTTGGTGGAGTGGCTTGGTTGCGGGGCGGGCTGAATGGGGCGAGATCGACGGCGGAAGAGGAACTTCAGGAGAAATTGCTGATGGTTGTTCTGGGTGCAGTCAGCCCGTCACCTGCGTCATCTTTTTGTTGTGGCGCGCTTTGTCACGCTAGTTGTGATTGGTTGGTGATGCTCGGCCAACGCTGAGACGCGTCAACATGATGAGCATCATGATGTATTTTCCGCACCAACACTGCACCGTGCTCCCTGTCCGACCTCCACACCGCCCGCTGCACCGTCGGAAACGCATGTAGCGCAACATGCGCTGTGCTGCCGAGCAGTTGGAATATATTTCACGTCGGTGCTGTTCGGTCTGTTGTTCAGTTGTTTTGTTGTACACAGGAAGCGCGTTTGACTCCCACAACTTTTCCCGTCATTTGGGTGTTTAGTGAGCAGCTCTACTTCGCTTCCTCGCCAACATTCGCCACGGAAAAAATCGGGACTGTAGTGGGCAGGTGAATAAATGTAACCAGCTTCTTCAAAATATCTCGCGAACGGACGGATGCCAGCGTGATAAGCTGCCTGTTCAACGGCTGCGATCAAAATAGGGGCTTGTATTGTGCGTGCAACTGGCTGGTACTACTTGCAATTGGGCAGGCTGTCGAGCTTGGACAAACCAAATTTGCGTGCAGTCGTTGAGCATCCTGTGTACCATTGTTTCAGTCATGCCTGTCGATTCACGGACATTTGTCCGTTTTCCCTGAGAATTCAGGGTTAGTTTCAGCTCAGCTCGGAGATTTTCAGGGCTGGTTTTTTCCCCAGCATTTCTAACGGACAGATTTTGGGGCTCCCCGGATTTCCGTACCTGCCACCCCCCTTCCCCTCCCCCCCTCTCTTCCTCACCTTAGACCGCGAACTTGTTCCTCTCCCACTCCTCCCAACAACACCAGCCCCCCACGTTCCACTAACGTATGCTGCTCTTTAGTGTATGTATAGCTCGATAACTTAGCTATATTACGCATGCATTCTCAGAGCCGGAAATATGAATGCCCTGATTTTACGACCGCTTCCCGGATAGCTCAGGGTTGTTTTCGAGACAGCTCAACTTCTTACGGATTGGACCCAGACCAATCGACAGCCCTGGTTTCAGTCCCTGGCTGGTGGCACAGTGTGCTGTGCTCATGATTGCACACCTGAGGCCCAGGTTACTTTTCACCTGAGATGTGTCGCGTACTAAAAAATAAAGCAATCCGCTAATGAACGAGGACCAGCCAATAAAATTCAATATGTTACAACTTCTGTTTTCACAGGAAATACCTCTTCAATCTATTGTCTGAGAGTGTTATTATGCATAAATAATCAGCTGCTAAGACTCATCAATGGAGCCGGTGCAGGCGCAGGGACACAAGACTGCTTGTCAACCGTCGGCACATATCCGGCATCACAGTCGCATGAAGGGTTCCTTCCAGGACCAAACCAGCACGATCCATGCCCACCGCACGTTGCCACATCAGCGCCGCAAAACCGCTTACACGTGGAATTTGCCACCTGCTTCTCAACCTTGTTTGCCAGCACGCACGGACTACCTGGCGGGTACTTCAAACAATTATACGCCAAGGAAGACTGGTAGAAGATCCCGCGGCGAGTTTGATCCGTGGGGCATTTGGTAACCGCGCCGGCCGTTACGGACGCGGTTCCGTGGAAGAAGTTGTGGTGCATGTTGTATTGGCCGGCTGTGAGCAATGTACTGTTGAGGAATCCTGTGGGGAGCGGACCGGAAAACTGGTTGTCGTGTAGGTTGCTGGTGGGTGGGTAGGAGGAAGGGGAGCAACGTCTGAGTTAAATTGGTTGGAAGAAGTTGTGGAGCTTGTTGTATTGGCCGGCCGTGAGCGATGTGCTGTTGAGAAAGCCGTGGGGAGCGACTTTTGAGGAGCCTCAAATGATGTATTGAACAGCTGTGCCATGCAGAAGGAATGGGTAAAAAGATTTGAGCTGGGTGGTTGGTTGGCTGCGGTTGAGCTTCAAGCAAGGAGTTTTGGATACATGAAAGTGCATGCTTGAAGATGGACGGATTAGAAACGGGTAGAAAGGTGAGACGGTTTGAGAGCCTAAGTAATGGCAAACGTAACAGCTGAAAGAGTTGACACAAGTGGTTGCAGGGAGGGTGAAACAAGTGGGTGTAGCGCAAAGGAGTGACACAGGAGAGACTAACACGAGAGAGAGCTGAGGAAGCTGCAGAATGCCTGAGGGAAAGCTTCCGTAGAAGCGGTTGCCCTCCAGATAGCTGAGAGGGATAGTGTGAGAGTGAGCGGGAGAGATCGTGTGAGGAGAGTGTGGAAGGTAAAGCTTTTGTGCTCTGACAACCACCAAGAAGACTTAGGAGAGTGGGAGCACCAGGCAACGGAGAAGAGAAGCAGTGGAAGAGCACGAGCCGCGTGAGTCCCCTCCCTCAAGATCTCTCATTACAAATGCGCAAGAGAAGCACAGCCTTACAGCACATGAACAAGCATCTATTGAAGCAAGGGCGTACAGCACGGTGAACAAGCATCTATTGAAGCAAGGGCGTACAGCACGGTGAACAAGCATCTATTGAAGCAAGGGCGTACAGCACGGTGAACAAGCATCTATTGAAGCAAGGGCGTACAGCACGGTGAACAAGCATCTATTGAAGCAAGGGCGTACAGCACGGTGAACAAGCATCTATTGAAGCAAGGGCGTACAGCACGGTGAACAAGCATCTATTGAAGCAAGGGCGTACAGCACGGTGAACAAGCATCTATTGAAGCAAGGGCGTACAGCACGGTGAACAAGCATCTATTGAAGCAAGGGCGTACAGCACGGTGAACAAGCATCTATTGAAGCAAGGGCGTACAGCACGGTGAACAAGCATCTATTGAAGCAAGGGCGTACAGCACGGTGAACAAGCATCTATTGAAGCAAGGGCGTACAGCACGGTGAACAAGCATCTATTGAAGCAAGGGCGTACAGCACGGTGAACAAGCATCTATTGAAGCAAGGGCGTACAGCACGGTGAACAAGCATCTATTGAAGCAAGGGCGTACAGCACGGTGAACAAGCATCTATTGAAGCAAGGGCGTACAGCACGGTGAACAAGCATCTATTGAAGCAAGGGCGTACAGCACGGTGAACAAGCATCTATTGAAGCAAGGGCGTACAGCACGGTGAACAAGCATCTATTGAAGCAAGGGCGTACAGCACGGTGAACAAGCATCTATTGAAGCAAGGGCGTACAGCACGGTGAACAAGCATCTATTGAAGCAAGGGCGTACAGCACGGTGAACAAGCATCTATTGAAGCAAGGGCGTACAGCACGGTGAACAAGCATCTATTGAAGCAAGGGCGTACAGCACGGTGAACAAGCATCTATTGAAGCAAGGGCGTACAGCACGGTGAACAAGCATCTATTGAAGCAAGGGCGTACAGCACGGTGAACAAGCATCTATTGAAGCAAGGGCGTACAGCACGGTGAACAAGCATCTATTGAAGCAAGGGCGTACAGCACGGTGAGCGCCTTGAGGTTGCTGAGGCCCTGTGGGATGGAGCCGGTGAAGCGACAGTTGTCCATCAGACTGGGGTGAGGGGAGGGATGGGAGGGGAAGGGCGAGGGTGAAGGGAAAAGGGAAGGTGGGATGGAGCCGGTGAAGTGACAGTTGTCCATCAGACTGTTGACGGGGAGGGGGAATCGGGCAAGGATGTCAAGGAGAGAAATTGGTTGACGTTGGGTGGAGAGAGCAGTGGTACAGCCAACGTCAACCAATTTCTCAGAGTTTGGCAGGGAGTTGGGGGGTGGGGTGGTGTTGTGGACAGTGGAAGGATCATGCCTTGTGTGGGTAAGGGTGGGGGATGGGGACGAACGCTGACGCACGCTGCTATAAGGGATGATGCAGAGGGATGGCGCAGAGGCATGGCGCAAAGGGGCATGGTGTGACACATGGCAGCAATCATTTGCATGTCATGTTTCATGATCTCATGGCATATCGTGGCATGGCATGGCATGGCATGGCATGGCATGGCATGGCATGGCATGGCATGGCATGGCATGGCATGGCATGGCATATGGTGGTATGTGGTGGGCAGCAGGAAGGGGGTGTGACTGAGATGCGGGAGAGGCGAGTGAGAGAGGACAGGTAGGGGGCTTGGCAGGGCAGGAAGGGGGCGTGACTGACATGCGGGAGAGGCGAGTGAGCTTGGTGATGGAATCAGGCATGGTGCCGTTGAAGGCTGCAAACTCCATCACGCTGGAATGTGGGGGGATGAGGGAGGGAGGGAGGAGGAGGGGAGTGGTGCACAGGAAAGGATGGGCGAGGGGGCGGTTGGAGGAGGGAAACAGGACGAGGGGAGAAGGAGAAGAAGAGAAAAGGATAAATTATTACCACATATTTGTCACACTGTGCTTGTGCTGAAGTTAATTGCACATGCGGGGGGGATCTGAAAGAGACAATCTGGGCATTGCTTCCCATGCAAGGCACTCACAAGTCCGTGAGGCTGACCATGTTGCCCAGGTCCGACGGCAGAGGGCCGTCCAGATAGGGATTGCTGCTCATGAAGCTGATGGAGGGGGGCGGAAAGAGGGGAGGAGGGGAGGGGAGGAAGGAAAAGGCACACGAGATGAGTGACTAGCAGAGGGCCGTCCAGATAGGGGTTGCTGCTCATGAAGCTGATTGGGGGGGGGGAGGAGAGGGGAGAGGGAAGCGAAGGGAGGAGTGAGTTCAGGCGCACCTGAGCAGAGGTCCGTCCAGATAGGGTTGCTGCTCATGAAGCTGATTGGGGGGGGGGGGAGGAGAGGAGGGGAGAGAGAGGTGCAAGAGGTGAGCGAGTTCAGGTGCGATTAAAGTGAGGGCCGTCCAGATAGGGGCTGCTGCTGCTGCTCATAAAGCATACGGGGGAGGGTGGGGGCGATGAGGGAGAGGAGAGGGACGACTAAGAATGAGGTGGCAGGGGAGGTATGGGGAGGGTGGGGAGGTCGGTTCGGTGCATGTCAAGGTGAAGAGAAGAAACTACGAGGGAGAGAGGGGGGAGAGAGGAGAGAGTAGAGAGGGCATGGAGAGAAGAGGCGAGAGGGCTGGGAGGGCTGGGAGGACGGTGAGGGAAGAGAGGGCTGTGAGGGCGGAGAGAAGAGGGAGAGAGAGGTTGAATGACAGGATGCGGAGGTTGGTGAGGGGGGTGATGGTGGCGGGCAGTGGGCAGAGAGGGAAGAGGGCGGAGAGAACAGCAGGGGCAGAGAGTGGGCACGGGAGGGCGGGAGGCTGACAGGATGCGCAGGCTGGTGAGGGAGGTCATGGTGGCGGGCAGAGGGCCTTGCAGACTGTTCTGGTTGATGAACCTGCCCGGCACGAGTGATACGGGGAGGGGAGAAGGTGACGCGGGGAGAGGCAGGGGGGGGGAGGGGGGACGGCAGGAACCAGGTGAGGTGAGGGAAACACGTGTGGGCAGCAGGGAAAGGCCCCAACGTCCTTGAGGCGACTCAAACAACGTCCTTGAGGCGACTCAAACAACGTCCTTGAGGCGACTCAAACAACGTCCTTGAGGCGACTCAAACAACGTCCTTGAGGCGACTCAAACAACGTCCTTGAGGCGACTCAAACAACGTCCTTGAGGCGACTCAAACAACGTCCTTGAGGCGACTCAAACAACGTCCTTGAGGCGACTCAAACAACGTCCTTGAGGCGACTCAAACAACGTCCTTGAGGCGACTCAAACAACGTCCTTGAGGCGACTCAAACAACGTCCTTGAGGCGACTCAAACAACGTCCTTGAGGCGACTCAAACAACGTCCTTGAGGCGACTCAAACAACGTCCTTGCACAAGGCACAGACAAGACAACGACCCTCCCTCTAGAAACGCACGGTGTTTTTGAGAAGTCTCAAAAGCACCGTGCAGCATCCTGGCCAAAGGTGTTGTGTTGCAGAAGGCACAGACAAGCTCCCTCCGTCTAGGAACGCCCCACCCCCCCTCCAGGTAAACACATAAGGATCAGTGCTCAGCTACAAGAGGCCCTTTGCTTTGACCTGGCTTTTTAGAATTCTCAAAATCCATGCTTTTCACCTCACCCAGAGTAAAGCTGTTTTGAGGCGACTCAGAACTGATTTTGTTTCGCCAAGCATGGCATGAAGAGCACATGGCACATGAAGAGCACATGGCACATGAAGAGCACATGGCACATGAAGAGCACATCACACGTACAGGTTCTGCAGCAGGGGCAAATTGCCTATGGTGCTGGGGAGAGTGCCGGTGAACCAGTTGGTGTCTATGTAGCTGCGGAGGGCCGGGAGGGGAGAGGACGCAGGTGGGTGGGCATGGGGAAGAGAGGAGAGGCCCGGGGTAAGAGGGGACAGGGGGAGAGAGGGAAGACGCACGCAGGGGGAGGAGCACGCAGGGGGAGGAGCACGCAGGGGGAGGAGCACGCAGGGGGAGGAGCACGTAGGGGGAGGAGCACGTAGGGGGAGGAGCACGCAGGGGGAGGAGCACGCAGGGGGAGGAGCACGCAGGGGGAGGAGCACGCAGGGGGAGGAGCACGTAGGGGGAGGAGCACGCAGGGGGAGGAGCACGCAGGGGGAGGAGCACGCAGGGGGAGGAGCACGCAGGGGGAGGAGCACGCAGGGGGAGGAGCACGGGGGGGGAGGAGCACGCAGGAGGGGAGAGGAGATTTGATGAAGGGGATGGAACCATTGCCAAGGAGAAAGGCACGCGGGAGCATAAGCCCTGGACTGTATGAACAATAGGGGCGAGTCTGACTGGGAGGGGAGGGACCGTGCAGTAAGGGTAGTGGGCGTGGAGGGGAGAAGCAGGGGTGCTAGTTGCAGGTAATAACTAATAAGCATGGAGGGGAGCGGGAGGGACAGGCGAATCGGTGCAGTGCAACTTACCGGCCCGGCCCCATATGCTAGTTAAAGCTCACAGGTAGTATGTGTTCTTGAGATTGCTGATGCACTCGGGGACAGTTTCAGACATGTCTAGAACTTAGCATAGCTCACTGAGACATGTCTGAAACTTAGCATAGTACTCACAGGTAGTATGCGTTCTTGAGATTGCTGATGCACTCAGGGACGGTGCCAGAGAAGTGATTGTAGCTGATGCGCCTGTAGTGAAAGGGCGCAGTGAAGAAGGGAAGGGGGATGAGAGGGGGAGGGACGGGCATGCGCAGGCAACAGAAAAGCATTTTGTTTCCATAACAGTGATAATGAATCATTTCTTTATTCCCACATGTTGATTTCCACAATACCGCGCTCAGATGCAAATCACTTGAGCCAAGGCAGCACTCGCGCCGCTCATATGCACGTCATGGTGCAGACCAGAGCACAGTGGGAACGGGGCCTTGAGCCATCTGGCAGTTCACAGCAGCGCACAGCATAGCACATCACCGCACAGAAGCGCACATCAGCGCCCAGTGCAGGGCAGGTATCGAGAGAAGAGTGCTTACAGCTCCCAGAGGGTCGTCATGTTGCAAAGGACAGGAGGGAAGGGGCCTGACAGCAGGTTGCTTGACACATAGCTGATTTGGGGGGGGAGGGGGGTGGTGAGAATGGGGGAGTGGAAGGAAGAATGAGGGAAGAGGTGAAGCAGAAGGTGAGAGGGAGAAGGGGAAGGGGGAAGGGGGAAGGGGGAGTGGCGGGAGTGGAGAGCTTTGAGATGCGTCAGGAGCTTTTGAAACGCGTTCCTGGCACGGCCGCAAGCAAGGCACGACTCCCAATTTGAGCAGGGTGGTGAGCTGGGAGACGTACCTAGGATTTTTGGACTGGTAAAGCAGTTGGAGGGAGGGGAAGGTAGCACACTCACAATTTGCGCATGCCAGTGAGCTGGGAGAACGAATCTGGTATGCCTCCCGTGAGGTGGCTGTGAGGTGGCTGTGAGGTGGATGTGAGGTGGCTGTGAGGTGGATGTGAGGTGGATGTGAGGTGGATGAGAGGTGGATGTGAGGTGGATGTGAGGTGGATGTGAGGTGGCTGTGAGGTGGCTGTGAGGTGGATGTGAGGTGGATGAGAGGTGGATGTGAGGTGGCTGTGAGGTGGATGTGAGGTGGATGTGAGGTGGATGTGAGGTGGCTGTGAGCTACTGGTGACTCACAAAATTGTGACTCACAATTTGCGCATGCCAGTGAGCTGGGAGAATGAATCTGGAATGCCTCCCGCGAGGTAGTTGAGGTTCAGGTGGCTGCAAAGGGTGAGGTGCATTACAGAGGGGTTTAAAACGGCTGAGAAGGGTGAGGTGCGAGGGGTGGTGGAAAAACGGGAGGAATGAGAGAAGCGAGAGGGGTGGGAAGGGGTTTAAATGGAACGGCAGCAGGGGAGCAGCACGTTGGAGCAGAATACTCTACTGCCAATAACCATGGGTTGGACGAGTTGAGCAATGGAGAGTGGAGGGTTAGACCGTTAAACTTGCTGCCGTCACCATGTCACCACTGCATTCCCACGAGTTTTGAGACGTCTCAGAATGAGGGGCGGGGGCCGTCGCCATGTGTCTATTGCATTCCCACTCCGGTCGCAACTGTTACTCCCTCCACACTCACAGCCACCACTCCCCTCGCCACACTCACAGGCACACACTCACAGCTGGTACAGGCTCCTCATGTTGCCCATGGAGGGCGGGATGGTGCCGTTGAGGTAGTTCTTGAACAGCTGCCTGCAGGGGGACGGGTGTGGGGGGCGGGGGCGAGGGGAGATGGAATAAGAGAGCGAAGTGAGAGGGAGTGGTGAGAGGTGCGCATGTTGCCCATGGAGGGCGGGATGGTGCCGTTGAGGTAGTTCTTGAACAGCTGCCTGCAGGGGGGAAGGGAGGGGAGGGGAGGGGGGAGGGTGGGGGGAGAGATGTTGCGAGTGAGAGGTGAGCATATCACGAGGCAAGCTGGAAGGGAGGGAAAGGCGCAGATAAGATTGGTTTTGAGACGTCTCAAAACCAATCTTCATACACGTAGAGATGTTGCGAGTGAGAGAGAGGTGAGCATATCACAAGGCAGGCTGGAAGGGAGGGAAAGGCGCAGATAAGATTGGTTTTGAGACGTCTCAAAACCAATCTTCATACACGTAGAGATGTTGCGAGTGAGAGAGAGGTGAGCATATCACAAGGCAGGCTGGAAGGGAGGGAAAGGCGCAGAGAACGGGGAAATGAAGCGGGAGAGAGAGGCAGTGCGAGTGATGGGAGGCGAGGGAGAGGCTCTAGAGCCGTGTAAGGGAGCAAACGGTTTACAGCATTGTGGCGCGCAGTTGGCAGTGGGCTGGCAGTGGGCGGGCAACAGTGAGTCAAGGGGTGCAGTGGCAGTGAGAGGCGTTGAGAGGCGGTGAGAGGCGGTGAGAGGCGGTGAGAGGCGGTGAGAGGCGGTGAGAGGCGGTGAGGGGGCACTGACAGGTTCTTGAGGTTGACGAGGTTGCTGAAGGAGTTGGGAATGTCTCCGTGGATCCAATTCGTGGTCGCGATGCTGGTGGGGGGTTGGGAGGCGAGGGGCGGGGATGGATGGAGCAGCCAGGACACAGCGGAGGCCACGTGAAGTGGGGGTGTTTTTGAGACGTCTCAAAACCACCCTCACTTCACGAGGATGGAGCAGCCAGGACACAGCGGAGGGGACAGAACGATCATGGCAATCCCAAGGGAGACAGAGCGGCGCCTGCCCATAGGATGTGGAGTGGATGCTAAACTACCGTGCGCGGTGCGGTCGGAAGCGAGGCAACGATTGGTTTTCGGAGCTCTCACGTCCATGTGGGGCTCACGAAGAGAGAGAGGGGGAGGGGGAGGGCAGGGAGAAAGGGGGAGCTGTGGAAGCCAGCACTCTTGCAGCTCATCCAGCGAGGTGAGGTTCCCCAGCACGGTCGGCAGCGTGCCCTTGATGCCTTTGGAGCTCACGTCCATGCGACGCAGCAGCCCGTTGCTCCAACACGTGACAAGGGGAGGGAGAGAGAGAGAAGGGAGGGGCTGTGGAGGGGCGCACGCTTACAACTCTTCCAGGCTGGTTAGATTGCCGATGACGGACGGCAGCGTGCCCTTGGAGCTCACGTCCATGCGACGCAGCAGCCCGTTGCTCCAACACGTGACGAGCCTTATGGGGTGAGAGGGAGGAGGGGAGAAGCATGAGGGGGGGTACTTACAGTTCTTCCAGCGAGGTGAGATTTCCCAGCACGGACGGCAGCGTGCCCTTGATGCCTTTAGAGCTCACGTCCATGCGGCGCAGCAGCCCGTTGCTCCAACACGTGACGAGCCACCAGCGGCTGCACGGGTTGCTGCCGTTCCACGACCGCAGGTCCATGTAGCTGCCCCATGCTGCCCGTAGCTCCATCAGCGCGGGGACTGGGGGAAGGCGGAAGGAGCACGCGGAAGGAAGGTAAAGAGAGGGAGGGGGGGGCGAGAGAGGTTGCTGCCGTTCCACGACCGCAGGTCCATGTAGCTGCCCCATGCTGCGCGCAGCTCCATCAGCGCGGGGACTGCGAGTATGAGGAGGGAGGGTGGGGAGGGGAGGAGAGAGGTTGCTGCCGTTCCACGACCGCAGGTCCATTCAGGTGCCCCATGCTGCCCGTAGCTCCATCGGCGCGGGGACTGGGGGGTGTGGGGGGAAGGTGGGGGGAAGGGGGAGTGGGGGAAGAGGACGGAGCACGAGGAAACGAAGGGTGAGGGGAGAAGCGGGGTGGGAAGGGGACGAAGAGGTTGTTGCCGTTCCACGACCGCAGGTCCATGAAGTTATCCCACACTGGGCGCAGCTTGTTTTGAGACGTCTCAAAACACGTTCCACGACCGCAGGTCCATGAAGCTATCCCACACTGGGCGCAGCTCCATCCGTGCGGGAACCGGGGGGAGGCGGCGGAAAGGAAGGGGAGATGCATCAGTGCAGTGCGGAGTGCGGTGGAATTGGAAACGAGGGTGCAGTGAGTAGTACAAAGGTGGGTAGCAGGAGGTTTGACCTATCACCGGCAGTGCGCGTGCGTGGTCTCAATAACGAGCAGTGAGAGAACGGGTCGTTGAATTGTGTTTGTGAGACGTCTCAAAACGTGGTATCAATGGCGTGCAGTGGGAACGGGTCGTTACGTTGTGACGGTGCGACGTAGACGGGCCTCGCGAGCGGGGTGACTTTGAAGGCGGAAGTTGCTGAGGCGAAGAGCAGGACGAGCAATGCCGCGCGGAGCAACGCACGTAGCGGCAAGAAAACGCGGTCACAGCGCGCCGATATCGACCGCGGCCTTGACAGGGATAGTATGGAAGGTTGCCTCATGGTGAGGACCGGTTGACAACGGTGAAGCAAACTCGGCGAAGAAGCCTTTTTGAATGAGAGGACGACGAGACGAGGGGGGGGCGGGGAAGGCAGTATGGCTTGAAGACAGGGAATAATATAAGATGGCGATTAAGAAGTGCTTTCTCAATGTAAGTAGGCCACTAAGATGCGGCACTAGCTCCTGCGACAAACGAGGATATAAATGAGCACCCTTCCTCGTTTTGACTAGACAGAAATGTCAGATACCTATCGCGGATTCTAAACATTGTTAATTCAAGACTCCTAAACGACGACACGTATCCATTAGTTTGACAGCTCTCGGGAATCAGGAATATTGGGGAACAAGAACCAAGAAAAGCTTCAAACAACCCACTTATTCCCAAGTTGGGCCATCAACGTTCATGGCGGTGTGCGTGTGTGCTGCTTGCTAGCTGGCTGGGCAATGGAGAAATCGATGGCAGCTCTAGGCGATTCGAAATGTGTACATTCCGTGAATTCGCACAGGTACGACGACGCAGCCTCGCACTGCTGATCGCATAGTTTCGAAGCGCCTATGGTTGGTTGGTGGAGCAGACACCGAATGCCTGTCGCAGGTCCGGTTGTTGGGCTCTGAGAGCTGTTCGTTGCTGGCTCTGATTGCTTTGTGCGAGGATGTGCGATCGGGTCTGACGTAGTTGGCGAAAATTAATCCGTCCTGCGACCGCATTGTGCATCAAAGCTGGCCGCCAGAAAACAGAAGAATGGAGGCACGTGGCCACCACAAGGCGGTGGGTGCGTGAAAACAATGTCTTGTACAATTCACGTAACAAATACAAATTCCGTGCATCGAAAATTTCAACGCAAGACGATACTGCAACACACTACAACGAGAGTGGAGACCAGCTCAAGGTCCCTTGCCGGCAATGTCATGTTCCTGCCTAGAACATTGCCGACCCCATGTTGCTGCTCTACATGAAGGGTCCCTTGCCGGCAATGTCATGTTCCTGCCTAGAACATTGCCGACCCCATGTTCCCCATGTTGTCTATGCAAACCTCCCATCAACCTAAAGTTAGGTCAAGCTCAAAAAGGGAATGGTTATTACCAAGATAATACATCTCCTAGGCCCTTCCCCACCAATGCAGGCAGAAATGCGGCTGACATGGATTTCCTAGAATGGGTAAGGCTAGCACATGCCATCACCAGCCACCACGGCGGAACTAGTTCCCCTACTAACTAGCATGCCTCCCGGATAAACCAAGTAATCTAAATCAGCTCTCCAATGGCGCCTAACCAACCTAAGCCCTGCAAATGCAACTCGTCAGTGAGTTAATCTACGAGCACATCACCGTCACTTGATCACCTTGAACGGCCGCATCATGTCGTTATCCTCGTGATCCAGCATGTGGCAATGGTACACGTAGCCAGGGCCAGCAGACACGTCGAACGGGAAAGCCTTGCCCATACTATCCATCCAGGGGAACAAGAGCGTCAGCACCTGACCGGGGTACGCCGTGGTGGTGTCCTTCCACCCGTTCTCAGTGGGGTCGATGCGAACCCGCGGGCCCGTCCAGCAGCGCGGGAGCTTGTTGCCGCGGAACGCGCACTTGCCGGACTGGAACGCGGCGACGTTGAAGGGGCGGCGGGAGATGGGGCGGTGGTCGATGAGGTGGAAGTGCATGGGGTGCGCGTCGGCCGACAGGTTGATGATGTGCCACAGCTCGTTCGTGCCCTGCCGGGGAAGCGGATGAAAAGGCGACGGAAGGGGATATCAAGCCTCGGAGTGTGCAGCTAGAATGCGCGTAGAGTGGAAGCATTCGACTCAGAAATCACAAACAGGGGTGCGTGGTTGTGCTGACAGCAGGTGGTAGCGCTGACCTGCTTGGGAAAGTCTCTGGGGGGGTCCATGAAGCCGAGGTTGTCGATGGTGACGCGGACGGGCAGGTTCGTCTTGGGGTCCATCTCCTCCACCAGCCGGTGCCAGCGAACCTTGGCGACATTCTTGAAGTCGATCGGCGGCATGCCCTGCCATGCGAGAACGTGGAGGGGGAAAAGATCACGGTGAAGACCTGTACCGGTGGTTTTCAAAGATACGAAAACAGCCACGGTAAGATATGAAAACGTATGGGTTCCGTGTATGTACCACGATGGAGCTGGGGACTTTCGCGCCGGGGATGCGCTTTTTGTTAGTGATGACGAAGCGCATGACAAGCCCGGTGTCGCGGTCAGCCGTCACACCAGCGGGGAAAGGCGCGGCCGCGGTGTTCTGCAGAATCACGTCCTTACACGTGGCGGGCAGGCTGGAGAAGTCAACCAACACGTCCTGGCGAGCGCCCGGAATGAGCAGCAGCGACTTGGAGGTTACCGGCTTCCCCAAATAGCCTCCGTCGGTGGCAATCTGCGCGTTGGAAGGGAACGTGTTAGCACGTGCTTGCTTAGGAAATCCGGTCGCAATGTGAAGAGCGTAGTCAGTATTTCTACTTACGCTGACGATGTCGAGAACCTGGCCCTTGAGCGGCGGCACGAAGTTGGGGTAGTCGCCGCGCTGCGCGCAAACGAACTGCAGATTGTAGAAACGCGCGTTCGCCGCACCCAGCATCTTGAACCGGTACACCGCAGGCCGGACCTTGAAGTACGGCCAAACGACGCCGTTGACCATGTTGGTGTCGCCGAGGTACTCGGGAATCCAGTTGGGGTGCACATTCGGCACAATGCCCACGTTCGGGTAGTTCACCGAGCCGTTGGCGAAGAACAGCCGATCCGCGATGGCGAGCGGGACGGTTCGGGAGGCGGGCGGCAGCCAAGTGAACTTGGACTCGAGCTTGGGGTCCGTGATAATGTACAGCCCCGCGAGACCGGCGGCGACGTTGAGGCGCGTCATGCCTACCATGTGGTCGTGGTACCATATGGTCGACGCCTCGTCGTTCACATACTTGAACGTGCTGTTAAAGAAGGTCGGGCCTTTCTCGCCGTACTGCGTGAACCACGCGAGAGGGTGGCCGTCGTAGTAGCTCTGCTGGGAGCCGCCGTGGCGATGCACAACTGCAGGGCCAATGGGGAAGAGAAAGAAGAGTCAGACCGGATGCGCGAACGGAGTACTATTGCGAGCGCGCGACACGAACGCGAAAAGTATATACGGAAGGAGAGTTACTTCACCCATTCTGGGTCACGCTCTTACCGATGGGAATGCCCTTCTTGGGGACTTTGACGCCCATCATGATGGTGGGATCGACGGTGAACATGTGCGTGTTGTCGAGCAGGTGGTTCTCCCACGTCACCGTCGTGTCGATGCCCACCTTGGCCACGATGGTGGGGCCGGGGTACGACGCCGTCTTCTGACTCGTGCCGTACGCGTACTGCTTCGTCGCCGGCAGATCGCGATGGAATTTCTGCCACGTGAACAAGGGAGACCTTAGAGTCAGCCGGCGGGGCGCATTCTGCGTTCTCGTCATGAAAAGAGCAAAATTTTGGGAATAACATGCCAGAGGTAGTCGTTTGTTGTAATGGGTGCAGGAGAGAGTTACCTGGTAAATCTGATAGGCGCCAATGGTGAGCGGCTTGGTGCCATCGAGGGTGGGGATGACGCGTGTGGTCAAACTGTCAACGAACTTGCACAGCGGTCTCTGAGGGAACGCGTTCTTGCACTTGGGGCCTGCTGTGGCCGTGGGAGTAGGAGCAACGGCTGCATTGGCAATGTAGGCTAAAGCAAGGACGGCAAATAGAGCGAGCGTACAGCGATTAGCGCGACCCATGGTGTGCCTCGGTGGTAGTGGTACTAAGTGAATTGCGTGGACTTTCTGTGTGAAAGCAGCCACAACTAGCTCTTTTATGTTGCAAGGGTTGTGCTGGTGGTAGTGACGAAGGCGGGTAAGTCCGTGATCGTGCATCCACGCGGGTGCTTGTGTTGAAGCATACCGAGTCGCGATAATCGAGCCGCCCCGCAAGCAAGTGCACCCGTGAATACGCGGATTTGAATTTTGCGTGGGCTGTAGGGAGTGACTCGCGAACCAGGAAGCCCGGCTCGGTTGTGTTCTTCTATCGGATGCCGTGCGATGAGGCACACGCAGAATTCCATCATGGTTGGATAAGTGCTTGTTGTGACAGATGGTTCGGTAGCTCTGGTTGGGATCGTACGGATCAAAGTAGCTGTAGGCCAATCGCTGAAAGGGGTTGTGCTTATGACCGTCAAGCGCGCGTAGAGTCCCATTGACTTCGATTGTTCGCTTTACAATAACATTCCTAAGTCAAGGAGAGACTCGATACGATCCGCGCTGGACCAGGTCAGTTGTGAAACCCTTGAAATACATTATGA